ATGGATGTTTATATCTATATATAAAACAACAAAATATACTAAATCACTATAGGTTTTGAAATGTTTTTTGAGGGAAATCATGTGAGTTTTTCAGTTCTGGATCCTCGTGTATCTGTTTCTCTTTTGTAAACATACAAAAAGTTTCCTGACAAGTTATTAAATATGTGTAATTTTTTATCATATATATTTTTCTCAGTAATCTGTGTATTGAAAGTTCTATGCAAATACTTGATGCATCGATCTGTTGACTGATGTGATGCTGTTTCCATTACAGTTTCTTTTTATAACCTGCACATCCAGCATGTACATGTGGAGAATAAAACATGAGGCCAGGTTTTGCCTGTAGCGCTGCTGGAACATCCAGCCGTCTTCTGTTACAGTAAGTTTGATTAACTTTCATCCTACAACCTCCCTGTATGTTGTGTGTTCTGCATTTGGGACCTTTCTGAATTACATGTAATATTTTTACGCTGGGACAGATTCCAGGGAGCAAACTGGGCAGATAAACAGAAGGCAGATAGGTGATCATAAAGAAGCTTATTTTTCTCATCATATTCATACCAGATTACCACGATGGTGCAGCACCTTGGTTACTGGTATCACTGGTAACAGTCTTTTCTTTACCATTGCATCATTTCAATAAAAGCTCTGCACATGAAGATGAACCTGAAGTCCCCAATGATGAGTAGCTGGATGTAAACCACAGGACAGAAAGACAACTTAGGAAAGAAAATCCTGGAAAGGACAAAGTGAAGATACTTTGATCATGTCAGTCAGTCGATGTTCTTACAACTCGTGGTCCAAAGCAAAGCGAGGACTGTTGAGGGAATCTCGTAGACGTCTTTCCTGCTTTGACCTTTGCTCTGATAAATGGGATAATAAAATCCAAATGTCAAACACAGCTTCCAAAAGCTGACGGTTGCGAAAAATCTTTCGTTTGTTCACAATCAGAGCCTCCTCAACTAAAAGCAAACAACAAAAAGTGCTGAAGGTGCCACATCTCTCCAAGCAGTCAGCGCTGACTGCTTTGTTTTGGTCGGCGTTGCTCTGACTTGTGTGCACAATCACACAATATGATAATGTAAACATGGAATGTCTGCGGTGAGAAAAACACTTTCCTGATCTGTAACTGAACAATTTTTCTGTTTGTTGTTGTTAATAATACACTCTGAAAAAGACAGAGGCGCTGTGACCTGAATGGATGAACGGCGGCTTTTAAGGGTTAAAAATGGTCTCTCGGCCTGTGCATAATCAATAGCTTTGTTACACAACGTCAGATTGTGTCTGTGATTTGTACACATATGTAGCCGTGTCCATGTGTGCCTGCGGTGCCTCTCAGTTCCCCCGTGGTGTGGTCATTCGACCGTACCAGCGTGGACTGGGATCGATGGGTTTCTAATGAGCGAGTGGTGGAGGAGCATAGAACTCCTCAGCAGGCGTCAAGTGGCAGCCGGAAAAATGTTGCAGCAGCAATAATTTACTCTTGCCGGTTAAAGTTTTGTCGTCCAAGTGGAAACAAGCCGAGGCTACGATGAAGGAGACGTAATGGAGGAGGGGTTAAAAGTAAGACGGATGGAAGAGCAGGTGATCAAGAAGTGTTATTGAACATTTCTGCATTGATCTGCTCGTTAGCTTCCTCTCAGGCGGATTACATGCTGAGCGCGACGTTTCCAGCTGCACATTTATCAGTATTTGCTACATGCGTGGCGCAGATTTGTCAGCTACTTAACACACGGTGGTGAAAAAAAAAGAAAAGCGCATAAATCCTGTGAAGCATCCGTTTTGTGGCACATTTAGCACCCAGATTGCTATTCAGTTAGGTGAGAATTGAAACCGCCAAGTTGAGTTATGGACTGCCAGGAAGCGGCTAGATTGGGTTTAAACAGTGAATTTTTTCAAAAGGTATTTGTGTATAAAATTTTTATTTGTTTATATATATATATATGCTTTTCAACCCTATATAACCCCAGATTCAGGCATTTGATAATTAATGAGAAAGGAGCGAGGCTACTGAATGCAAGGCGTGATCCATGCATCATAATTATGATGCATGGATGCAAAAGCAACACATGAAAGCAGCCCATGAGATCTGAATTTAAAAAATAATAATAACATGAATTAATCAGTCACGTCTCAGCCATTACTGACAGAATGCAAAGTCAGACCAGGGCAGAGCTCTGCACGTTTAATCAAAATGACCAGGTTTAAATCGGTAAACCAGATTTAATTTAATTTACATTTTTTTCAAGACCCCCACACTGGGTGGTTAGTCCCTCACATCTTCCGTCCTTCCTTGTGGAGTTTGCATGTTGAGTGGGTTCTCCGGCTTCCTCCCACACAGTCCAAAAACATGTTGAGGTTAATTGGTGATTCTAAATTGTCCGTAGGTGTGAATGTGAGTGTGCTTGGTTGTCTGTCTCTAAGTGTAGCCCCTCCTGCCTTCCAGACCCTCCCACGACCCTAAAGGATACAGCGATGTACAGACAATCAACAGATGAACTTCTTCCACACCCAGAACTGAAATTCCTGCCTCTAGGGGAGCTCAAGTCTTGTTTAGGAAGCTCAGCTCCTCCAGCTCGTGCAATTCAAACACTGTGTTGTCTCTTGAGGAGGCACAAATACATACATAACACATGCAATAGGTCTTTTAAAAATTTTGAAATGTTCTTTTCCCTGGTTTCCACTCAGCAATCTGTCCTAAACCATTGTTTTTATTTACAAGTAATTTTACAATATGCACAGAAATAGTACAGTTTTGCATGAGTGCCATTTTCACTCTTGTGTTTAATCATAAGTTGACCTGCTAATTCTGCTCAGAACATGAACTGAGCAGCTAAAATGTACATCCACACATACTGTATGTTAAACTGCTGCTGATCTTTCTGGGACTCTGGCAGCCTGGCGTCTCCGTGGACCTCATTGAAGTGAGTCCTCCAGATGAAGGATGTGTCTGGCTGCTCCCCAGGATTTCCAGCAGCTTGTTACTTTGATTAATTCTCTATAGCTAATCAGTCAAGTTCGTTCCCATGGGGTGCGAAATGAAACCAGTCACCTGAAGAAGAACAGGCGCAAACTGTGCCACGCGTGCGCACGGCTCCATGTGCACACTTGCGTTTATTTACACGTGAACACTAATTAACCCAGTGGTTCAGTAGCTTTCCAATTTACATAATGCTTACGTTATTTTGTTGTTTTTTTATGCAGATTCAAGGCTTTTGAAATTATACACGGTAGCACAGGAGGAAAAAAAATCTTACTAGTTTTACTATATAAATGATGCTAATTCTGTGCATAAAACTTTAAGCATTCATACATCCTATTACTGCTAATAAAATAGGTCGAAGCATAAATGTGAGGATTTATTAAGCTGTCATTAACAGGCAGTTTTACAGGATATAATAAATGTAATGCTGGCAAAAACAATATATCTTTACAGGTTTGCACCGTGAGCTGGACTAAAGCTCTAAATACCCCGATTCTGAGGCCATTGTCACTTCACTATCTTACACTAATGACAGGATGTGATTGGGGGGCTGTCAGGAAGTGGGATCTACCAGGCAGCCACTGAACAGTCAGTTCTTGAAGCTGAGGGACAGGGGGAAAGAAAAAGTGCTGCGTGAGGATCTGAGAGACTGTGGATGACTGGGTCAGAGCATGAGCTAAAAGGCAGGTCTTGTCGGGCGTTCCTGGTCTGCAGTGGTTAATACGTATCAAAAGAGGTCCAAGGAAGGACAAAAGATGAACTAGACAAAGGGTCGTAGGTGCTCAAGGCTCATTAATGCATGCGGAGATGGGAGGCTGGCCTTTGCGGTCTGATCCCGTAGAAAAAGCTACTGTAGCACAAATTGGTAAAAAGCCTCAACGCTGACTACGATAGAAAGGTGTCGGAACACAGTTCATCGCTGCCCGCTGTGAAACTGCCAACTAGAGTGCCCCGTTCACCCCCCGTCCACTGCTGACAGCGCCTTCAATCGACACTTGAGCATCAGAACTGGAGCATGAAACAATGAAAGAAGGCCTCCTGGTTGGATGAGTCACTTCTTCTTTTACACCATGCAGATGATGCTTGTTCGTCGTTCGCCTGGGGGGGGAAGAGACGGCAGCAGGGGGCATTACGGCAAGAAATCCAGCCAGCAGGGGCAGTGTGATGTTCTGAACAGTGTGATGCTCCATCCTTGGCTACAGTATTCCCTGATGGCCGTGACCTCTTATGATGAGATAATGCTCCAGGACTCACTGCAGAAATTGTCCAGGAACGGTTTGGGGGAGTTCAAGGTGTTGACATGGCCTCCAAATTTCCCAGATCTCAATCCAATCTGTGAGAGGTGATGGAAATACAATTTAAATCCATGGAGGCTTCACCTTGCAACTTCTAGGACTTAAAAGGATCTGCTGCTGACGCCTCAGTGCCTGACAGGTACCTTCAGAGGTCTGTGGAGTCCAGGCCTCAGCAGGGCTGTACTGGTGGCACAGGTGGGACCTGTACAACAGCAGGGAGGGGTTTCACAATGTCCTAGATCAGCGGTCTTTAATCTTTTTTGCACCACGGAGCGGTTTTAAGCAAGAAAATTTTCTGCAGACCGGTCATGACAAAAAAATAAAATGTTTTAATTACTTTTTAGGGCTGCAGTTGGTAGCCTCGTTGCCTCGCAGCAAGAAGGTCGCCAGTTTGCGTCCCGGTGGGGGCACCGGAATCTTTCTGCATGGAGTCTCCATGTTCTCCCCGTGCAGCGTGGGTTCTCTCCGGGTTCTCCGGCTTCCTCCCACACAGTCCAAAACATGTTGAGGTTAATTGGTGATTCTAAATTGTCCGTAGGTGTGAATGTGAGTGTGCTTGGTTGTCTGTCTCTAAGTGTAGCCCTGTGATAGACTGGTTACCTGTCCAGGTGAACCTGCCTTCACCCTGAGTCAGCTGGGATAGACTCCAGCCCCCCACGACCCTAGTGAGGATTAAGCGGTGTATAGATGATGGATGGATGGATGGAATTACTTTTTATTGCTAAATATGCGTTTACTTTTTCTTCTGTCTCAGCATCGAGCCCCTCCCACTTTTCAAAGAAGCTCTCCGGAGACGTTGACGGCTTCGTTTAACAGCCGAGCATGAAAACCGACAGTCAAGTCCAGGAAACAAGCACAGACGGATGCGACAGGAAGACGAGCTCTTCAATTTTCAAAATAAAACGCCCTGCAGACTCTGCTGGAAATAAAAATAAACCAATAAAACGTTTTTATTCTTTCTGTGCGGCCCGGTGGTTGGGGACCGCTGTTCTAGATTGTAGGTTTGCATACAAACACTAAAGATGTACGATGTGCAGCCAAGGTCATTTGCTGTAACCAAACCAGTGACTTTGCAGTTTTGCAGCATACGCTTCAGCTATTTGGCTACCAGGACACTCCTGTGTACTCACGACTCCGCGCTCGTGCATATTTCATATCCTACACATCTAGCCCCCAGGTCTTGGATAAAACCTTTGATTCTCACGTTGATGAGAAACCTCCACGGTCCTAATTAAATAGACTCGTGATGTGGAGGGAAGTAGCCCCTCTGGGAGAACTCACATGTGAAGTTTGAGTGTGGCAGCTATGATCATAGTGAATATTCTCCTCCCTTTCAAATAAAGTAAATTTTTAATCCAATGAGTTCTATTTTTTTTTCCCGCTCATAATGTATTCGACTGGCATGATGTGAGGGAGATTTAACCAGTTTTCACGAGTTAACTTTATTCAAAGAAACCCTGGGAAGTTCCTCACACTGTATGTACACCGACACTTTCACGGAAACTTCTCTGACATGAAAACCGGGCCGCAGTAATCCTTTATCAGCCACAGCGCCTTTTGCTCTAATCACCCAGATTTATAAACAGCGAGACTAAGCAGTGTTTTGTTTATATTGTAATAAGTGTACCATTTAATTAAAGCTACGGATGGGTGTCCAGAATTAACAAGCCATATGTGAATCGGTACCCACCTTGGAGGGCACATTTACAGTTGAGAAAATCCATTTAAATGTACGCTACAGCTCATTATATAGCATTATAGATTTAGCCTATGACTGAGAGCCACAGGGGTGTTTTTTCAATGCAATTCTGCGCGTGCATTTAAATTTAATATCCTCACTCCATTATTTTATCTGAGCTGTAATTTGGTATGACTCCTGGATTTTAAGCTCACCTTAAGGAATTCCCTTTCTCGTGATCTGGACCGTAATTACTTTTGAATCTTTTTCCACCTCATGTGAAAGAGATTAGAGAGATTTGTGCAAATTCCGCGTGTGTCCCTTTTCTTCCTTATCCGCTTAAAATGTAATTATAGTCACATTTTGCTAATTGTGTTGTGTATATTACCTCCTGCGTGGCGATGTTCTAGTTCCAGAGCAGAATTAACCTTTTGATGATGCTAATGTCTGTGTGGATGAATCCATTTGCATAGCAGCTTTTAAACTCCTCATTTTGGATACTCAGCAAAATAGCATCTTATTACATCAACCATGCAAGACTCATCCTTCTCATCCTTCCCAGCTCTGGGTTTTATCTCCAAAAAAAAATTAGCGAGGGCGTCACACTCGTTCTGAGGTTGAGAAGTTTTGAGCGATTACTTCATCGCAGATTAAACTGTTCCTGCTTTTTTTTTTTTTTTTTTTTTGAATCAAACAACTCACATTTTATATAAGAGAGAAGAAAAGCAAAGGAACTGGGTGTCAGATGTAAACCTACAACATCACACAGCATCTCGAATGCATCTTGGTCTGTTGATCTGCCACGGCGCTCCAGCGAGCCAGAGAATTACACATTCCTCCGCTCATCACCAAGCACAACAAACCTAAAGGAATTTGTCATCGGTGTCATGTGCGAGGAGACGGTATCGTCAGCTCAGATAGGAACACACTGACACACATGGTAGAGGGAGCATATAATGAAGTCTCTATTACACATGATGCACATATTACGCTCAGCTCTATAATAAGATTTGGTCCCCTGAGAAAAAGCACAGCAGGAATGATGGATGGCTTACTGCTGGTAACTGAAAATCTTTCTCGCTTACATACGTCGCCTTCCTCTTTCTCCATCTCGCTTTCTTTGACCTGCTACCTTTCCTCCGTTTTTCTTCTTCTTTCTTCACATTAAACATCTCGCTGCACTATTTTTTTCCCCCCTTCATCTCTTTCTACCCGTCATTTCCACTTTTCTCTAACTGATCTCTACATAATGCTCTTCCTCTGTATACCATCTTGTCTTTTTTTTTTCTCCCTCTATAATTTTCCTTCCTCATCCAGCTGTTACCATACATCCCATCCTCTGCTCACCTATAATTTTCTCATCTTTTTTTTTTTCCATCGGCCTCCTTTCTTTTCCTCCTCTTTCATCTTCTTCCCAAAAGAAGTGCTACATACAGTAGCGAGCTTCTACATCCTTTCTATCTCATTATCTCTCCCACACTACTCTATTTGCGTAATTAGAAACACAGATTAGAACTGGATTAGTATATAGTGCAAACTAACCTAATGGCATTTAGGTTTTTTTTTTTTAAATGGCCTGGCTTCGGCCCCTCGTCTGTCGTTATTCTTGGTTTGTCTGCTCACATTTAGCACAGCGATGATGAGAGCTTGTAAATGAACATGAAGCAGACCTTAGAGGCGGTGTAGTAGCAGAAAAAAAGCCAGTGTACTGATTCAAGTGGACACATACAAATGTGATTTTGCTGTAGGTGGCACAAAATAAGGTGAACACGCAAACTAGCAAATGTTGCATCTTAATTGGAAATTTTCTGCTTATTCGGATGCTTTGTGGCTGCTTAATGAAACACAAAGGAAAGTGAGAAATTACAGAAAATACCAAGAGTTTTAAGTCACTGCGCCACGCAAATACACACATTTCTGCACACATTAAGTGCCGTGAAGTCTACAGCGAACATCTCTCTACAGTCTGGTGTTTGTGTGATATAAACACAGACTGCACAGATGACTCAGCGGTCCAGTTTACCCAACATTCACTCAAATAAAGCAAGCTGAAGCTCACACAAAGTGGGACAGTCAATCAGAATGTTGATGACTCCTCACATCTAATACATCTTAAAGCCGCAGTTGGCAAAAATCTGGGAAACACCAGAATCCTCTCCTCGTTCTGTTATGAGCCCCTCCCGCCAAGCAAATCTCATGCTTCCAGTTTGTCGAGCTCAAAATAAATGTGAGACTCCACCAAGGATTCAAACTCTGACCTCAAAAGTGAAAGTCCTCCATCTAACCCTCTGTTATGCCCCGGTCTAGGGGAACCTTTGGCATGACATGAATTTTGCTCCACGCCAGTCTTTCCGCCTCAAAGAAGGGCAGCAATCAGACAAGCCAGGTATCAAAATGAGCAGTTTCTTTTATTTTTGCAGTAAAGAGGTGGACATAGGCCAAAATAACAAACAAAACACCCTCTACATTAACCCTGATTTCCCTGTCGGAAAAGAAAAAGCAAATAAAATAACTTTCCTACCTACCTAATAAACCAAAAACAGGAGAAAAAGGGTTTAAAAGAAAAAAGCCTCTCTCTCCTACTTCTGCTCTCTATTTACAATATTTACAAAGAGTCACTACAAGACTCTGAATCTGTTGCACACAGCTACAGCTACAAACAAGTTACTGCTGCTGCTGCATCCTCCTGCAGTACAGTCTTGATGGCATGCTGACATTCTCCGAGGTGGTGAGGCTGGAGGTGAGGAGACCGAGTGCAGCTGGCGGGCTGTTCAAATAGTGGATGGGCCCGTCCTCTGACCAATTGTGTGGCTGGAATCAAGCGAGGCAACAGGTGAGACAGCCAATCCAGGGTCACCACCTGCTCCTAATCCAATCTCCAGCTTCTTCCCACAGTCCAAAAACATGTTGAGGGTAATTGGTGATTCTAAATTGCCTGTAGGTGTGAATGTGAGTGTGCTTGGTTGTCTCTCTCTATGTGGCCCTGTGATAGACTGGTGACCTGTCCTCACTTAAAGCGATAAACTCCAGCCCCCCCGCGACTCTACAGAGGATAAAGTGGTGTAGATAATGGATGGATGGATTTCATTTCTGCTCTGTGTGAATGTCTTTACTTCAGTATTTTTTTCCATCTCCTCTTCTTATACGTCTGTTTCCACACTTTGACAAGAGCAGACAATAATAAATTAGTTAAACCAACTTGTTGCAGCCATTCAGTGTTTTTTTTAAACAAAGCTACTGTTGGACTATTTTTTTTCTTTCCTTTACAACTTCGCTGTAGGGTTGGGGTTGGACTGTAAAGGGAGAGGGCAGGTGTGGTCAGCGCACACTTCAAAACCATCATCAGTGGTTCTGAGCATTGCATACAGAACCTTTGAATATGGGCTAAAATAAATGGTTGGTGGATCCAATTTTAGAAAACAAATGTGATATGTGAGTCTTTGGCTGGATTGACCATCATAATGATTATCGAAATGATAATTTGTCGTTAGGTAAGCATCACAATTTGGTCTAAAATCGATAGTTATGAAGCTGATAGTACACACAATGAAGTAAACAACTTGTTTTTTTGTCATCGGTAAAGTCTTGCAGGCAGAACAAGGAGTTTAGTAAACAGTGTCTGTTCGGGTCATTGACTGCTGACCTTTTCATCTCATGCTGTGAGTAAATTGGCCCCCAATTGCTGGCCACCAGGACATGGAGAGATGTAACAAAATGTTTTTAATTAACTGGTTTTAAGGTCTCGGAAAGTCAAGGTTTTTGAATGTAGAGCCGCTTTGCCCGGATTCTACCCCTGAGGAGAAGTTCACGTTAGTGTCAGTCGATCTAGGAGGGAAATAACAAGGCTACAGTCAAGTTTACTGCTCTAAAATATTATGTTCAGCTGCTCAGCAATATCCATGGATTAGCGTTAAGCACCCCTCTGTTTTTCTGGTGCAGCTCAGGTCACCTTCAGTTTTTTTTTCTGCACTAAGACTGTAGTGTCGGTGAATCTCTCGCCTTTGTAGTTTATTGATGCCTGACTTTTTCATCTCTACCTGTCTGAACGAGGCTGTTTTTCATTTGTCTGTTAACCTTGATATACTCAGAGATTTGATGAGCGTGCAAGAAGCCTTTTCAGCGTCGCTACTTTTCCCCTGCAATGTACTCAGAACTACTTAGATCAGGGCAACGCCAAACAGTAACCCCAGTCTGCTGCTGTGTTGTCAGACTGAGCTGTCCTGTTGAGCAACATTTTTAATCTGAAAACAAGATGTGACAAAGTTTTTTAAAAGCGTGTTTCTGAGGATTATATTTTTACACAAACTTCCTGCTCTTCTCAGGTGACTGACGATATATGCACATTGACATGAAAACCGAACACCGCAAAGAGCGAGCTGAGGCGGCTGTCACGCCATTGGAAGTTGTTTTCTTTGTAAAGACTGATGAGCCACAAATGTATTTTTTATTTTTTTTTCTGAGCTGAGGAAAACAAACCCCTTAAACCTGTAACAGACAGGTATTATCCTTAAGTGTTTTGCTCAAAGGCATCTTGTTGGTTGCTGACAGAGGAGAGTACATGCATTATTCAGACACCCGCCACCCAGATTTTCACAGCAGGTCTCAGCTACTGCTGTCTCTCGCTGCTGTGGCTCAGGTATAGAAAGGTTTTATCCTTGAGTTATGTTAAAAAAGCAACAAGTCATGTCTAAAGGTTCAGCTCTATTTATTCCCCATGGACATGCTGGCGTGCAGCATAAAGGTATCAAGAGATGTGAAAAAGAAGCAAATGATCCATCGAGTGGCTGCGCGAACTTGTAGACATCGAAAGCTTATCAATGATCTTTGAAGCGTTTCATTTGTTAGGAAGATACAGCAGCAAGAAACATTAAAACCACCTGCCTGTTACTGTCTAGCTCTGAGTTGTGGAGGTGTAGACATGGGACCTCTGGGGGTGTCCTGTTTGTGGTGTTAGTAGAGGATGCTTTAGGTTCTGTGGTTTGCGGATGGGACCTTCGTTTGGCTTTTACCAGCACCTTCTATGGATGCTGAATGGATTGATTAGCCAGTTCCTTGGGGTCTTTGTCCCTCACGCCAGAACATTTTTGTAGTGCGGTCATGTGCTTTGTCCAGCTAGTACCAGCTTTACAT